TGCTGGCCAGCCTTGCCGTCACTGGGTTCCACCTCGCCCAACGACGGCGAGGTCGGCCTCGATCTCGCCCAGGCAGCAGCGGCGGTCGAGGCTCGCCCTCGCTAGTGGCCAGCGGGGGCAAGCTTCGCCAGAGGCCGGCGAGGCCGCGCCTTTGGCCTGTCGTCGGTTGCCGGATCGGCCAGAACGAAGAAGGGCAAAAAAAAAAGAAAGAAAATAAAAAAAATATTAAAAAAATTCGAAAAAAAATATTTAAAAATTGACACGTCAGCGTTGGCCGGCGGCTACGTCAACGCCGACTGGCCAAATGGACTCAATTGGTAAGAAGTGAAAAAATTTAGGACTGAACTGGCAAAAGTGCAATAATTTTATGACTTTTTAGATAATTTTCTCGTTCTAGACAGCCACTGCACCTGCTACGAAAACGGGCCGAACAACCCTCCCTGTCTAGACAGCCACTGCACCTTTAGTTTTAGCCCAAGTTTCTTCGCATCCAATGTTTATCGGCTCAGCCCAATCGAGGTAAAACCAAGAAAGATTAAACCCACCCCATGCTAATATTCCCTGTCTTGCATCATTCCAAATTTGTCGGATGTCTGACAACAGACACTCGACCAAACATGTTTCAGATCAATCAAAGCTCAACCACTTCTTTCATAATTTTTTTTGTGAGTTTATTCAACGATTGTGCACAAGATCTTTATGGTTTGCAACGACGATAAGTTTGTTCCGAAGGATCTTGTACATTAGATGTTGGGAGCGCCCAGCATAATCTCGGTACCTTCATCTAGAGATATAATCGACGGAGAGCCCAAGTCCGAGCCGTCTACATACCCAATTAGACTTACCTACACTCAAAAATTTAAACTAATGAGTTATGGGCTAATTTAAATATATTAACTGTTTTGAATCATGCCAATTCTCCAATGTATGACTTTTTTAAACACAACTCACACGTGCATTTCAATAATCACCCCTCACGTGTGAACTCAGTGTTAGGTTTGCTCCCACTTAATTCGAATATCATTCTGCATCAATATATTTCAACCTGAATTTCCAACGCCACCTTCATCCTTGGTCTTTTTCTCCGGACCAAACCATGGAAGCTGCCATCGGGACCACATAGGCTCCATTAGTACCATCCTGGTCTTTTCTCCGGACCAAACAATGGAGGCTACCATCAGGACCACGTTGCTACATCACAACGCTCATCACCCGAAAAACATTGGGAATAGGTCACCAATCAATCATCAGCTTTGATATTATCTGTTGGTACTGCACAATAGAAACTAGGGGTGAGCACTAGGTCCGCTTCCAACCTAAGAACAAGACTGGACCGAACCTAACTGATACAAATATTTTTTTTTCACTTTTCTTTACTCTGTTGCTATTGATTTTCTTCAACTCAGTTAATCCTAACTCTGATACCAATATGAAAAAATCCAACTCTAAAGTTAAAGTTAATGAGTTAAGGGTCAATCATGATATATTAATCGCACCAAGCCACATCAATTCTCTGTTGTTTGACTTTTTCTAACATACCTCATATGTATATCTCGACAGTGGATGATCAAAAGGAATATGCCAGATGAAGTGTTGGAGATAAGAGGATCGAATCATATGGTCATGATATCCAAGCCCACGTAATTATGGGCAATTCTCAAGAGAACGGCCAGTAAGTATTGCAGATCAGAAGTGGAGAAAAAGATAGGGACTTTGAATGGTCGCTCGCAACAGTCAAAACTTTTGTTCCATGATTAGCTTCAATTCAACTCTATTTTGGGAGCTAAGCTTGTTATTAAAACGGGACAAAGGAAATCGTTTGACCCTGTATTTGCGCATGATTCATATTAAAAGCACTATTTGTCCCATCATTCCATCAATCATTCTTCTTTTCTCGAAACATCGACCTTTCATACATTCACACATGTCAGTTTTGGAATCAATGTTTTAGGGACTTTACACCTTTGGGTTTACCTATATTCATTTCATTATATGGATTTTAGCAGTGCAAAGAGACATGTCTGCAACCTGCGGATAAGAATGATTAGCTTTTCGCGACAGATCATTGCAATGTGATGGATTGGTACATCAGAATTCATGAGAAATAAATGATGGCATCATTAAGGAAATACGCAAAATTTGGACAATGTGATCTACATCAAGCTCGCGGTGGGTCAATTTTTTTTTTTCCCTATCAGTTTGGGATGTATGTGTATAGAGCATATGATTTTTTGGAAACAGTATTGCATTGCATTAAATCAAGGAATAGTACCAAAAAATTCATTAACTTATTGTACTTGTAACAATTCAAACCTAAATTTTTTTAATTGTGTCAAATTAGTCATAAACATTTTCATATTTTGTCAGTTGAGTCCATCGGATCAATTTTGACTGAAAATTACTGATATGGATGCCAACTATTTTACATAGTACGGCCGGCGCTGACGTAAACACTTTTAATAGTATTTCTATAATTTTTTGAATTGTTATTACTATTTTGTTTTCGTATTTTTATTTATTTTTTTCCCTTTCATTTTGGCCAGCGGGGCCGCGAAGGCCTCGCCCTAGATCCGGCGATGACTTGCTAGCTCTCATTGGGCAACGTGAAAGGAAAAAAAATAGAAAAAAATTCAAAATTTTTTTCGAAAAATTGTAAAATTTGACAACGTCATGCCGACCGTGCCCACGTAGAATGACCAGCGTCGACATTAGTGATTTCGGCCAAAATTAATCAGAGGGGCTCAATTAGCAAATTGTGAAAAGATTTAAGATTAAAATGGCACAATTGAAATGTTTATGACTAAATTGATATAAGTGCAGTAGGTTTAGGACTTTCCTGGTAATTTTCCCCATTAAATTGCATTCAACGACTAAGCGTGTGTCCGAGTCTAGTAAATCTCAAAAAATAATCCATTCTTCTATCTCCGCTACGACATCAAACCAAGCAAATTGGTAGATGGTGCACATAAATCCCCGAATCGGATTTGATCAAACCACGAAAAAGATCAACCATCCGTGTATAAATAGGGAGAAGAAATTAGAAGTGCCAAAAGTTATGTACAGCGTTCACTTTAATAAAATATTACCATGTTAGATTTCTGGCAATCCAGATCGGATTTAACACTCAAGTGATCGTTTTTTTTTAAAAGTGGCACTTAGGTGATCCGAAATAAACTTTTAGCACTTTAACTAAAGTGAGTGCCGTACATAACTTTTGACACTTTTAGTGTACTTTTTCCTATATAAATAAGTCTACCAACTTTTCTCCAAGGCGAACTTGAAGCTAGTCATCTGATGTGGCAGCACTTGGCTGTTGAAACAAACCATTCGATATTTTTTCTAGTCTTCCATTCTCAACAATATTTACTAGCAATTTTTCAAAGGATTGCCCATGACCGTATCGGCTTGGAAATAATGGAGATATGATCAAAGTCTCTTATCTCCAACACTTCGTCTACTGGATTTCTCTCAATCATCCACTCTACAAAATCATGGCCAGGCGAGGGTCGGCCTCACCCTGGCCAGATCTGGTGAGGCTGGGGCGAGGGTTCGCTAGATCTGGTGAGGCCAGCCCTCGCCCAAGCCATAGCGGCCTTGCCCGGTCGAGCGACATAGACCCTCGTCTAGGCAAAGCCAGCCAGCTTGGGCATGGCCGGTGGCCGGTCACTGGCAAAGGGAGGAATAAAGAAAAGAAAAGAATATAAAAAAATCGAAAAAAATATCAAAATTGTCCACGTCAGAGTCGGTGGTGCCACGTCGGTCGGTCAACGTCTATGTCAGCAATATTTGGCAAAAATTATGCGGAAGAACTGAATGGGCACTATATCAAGAGGTTTAGGACTAAATTGGTACCAATACAATAGGTTTATGACTTTTCTAACACCGCATAAGTCCATAGGCTCTCGGATCTTCAAATCCATCAAACACAATCATGACCTCTCTTCGATTACTAGGCAAGATCTTAGTTTACTCGTTGACACGATAGTCTAGAGATCAAGAAAGATTTCGTGTGCGTATGATATCTCGAGCGGCAACACAAACAAAGGCTCGCATATACCGTGTGCAGCGTACTAATGTGCGTGTCTTGTGGATCTCTCGCCTTCTTTTTTCTCGATAAGTAAATTGTCCTTGTTGCGCTCCAAACGAAGAGAATCGCCGGCGAACTTTCCCCACGTACAAGGTCAAAACATGAATACGGTCAGCAACCAAAGAGATGGCTTCGTAGCTTCTCTCAACATCACATTACATTGGTTTTTTTCTTTTATCTATCCTATCTCCCAATTCTCCTCACTCTCTGATTTTTACTCTGCCTCTTGTTGAGCACAAGAGTTAAACCCCGCACCTGTGATACTAGCGCACCCACCCCCCTCCTCAATTTCTTTACCAGCAAGGCCGCATGCCTGTTGGTAACATCACATTACATAGTTGATGGCCTGCTTTTAAGAGGTTAACGTGATTTGAGTTGCAAGAATCTGCTGGGTTTGTCATCTATTCGACATATTGTAGCACGATGTCCAAATATTGTCCAAAGAAAACATATTTTGTCGAAAAGAATTGAAAAAAAAATCAATCATGAAGAGACGGCCTAGTGCACCACAAAAATTTCCATGTTTAGAGGGCTCGGTTGTATACTCAATCAATGGTTTCGGATAGAGATGGAATTCATTTACACTTGAAATTCAATTCAGTAATTAGTTGGCCTACACTGTTGCGTATACTATAGATGATAATATCATGAATGATTCTCATGATTAATTCATTGCTTTGCATTTAACATTATCTTGTGCTCCGATTGGACCACCTGTCCAATACTTTTCGACAATGTATCATGGAATCAGGAATCACTTATTCATCGCAAACTCCACGAACAAACTTACCAAATAAGCAATGCAAGCTCTTACGTCAAGATTCACTAACTCTTCGCCCTCTTTTTGCCTTTCTCCTCTATAATTTTCTACATGTCCTGACACTGTCCTAGTCCCTCCTTAGTTACCTCCGAATCATCCACACAATCGCGTCCAGGTTCAGTCGCGCGTCAGCAACCACCATTTCCACCATAAATATGTTCCTCTCTGTAAGTGCTTCAATATCACCCACGGCATAGAAAAGAAGAAGAAAAAGATTTGATCTTTCCTGATCAGTCACAAACTCACCATATTAACCCAAGATCAAACTCCACGATCCTTACCAAGAAGAAGAAAATGGGAGAGGTGGATCCGGCCTTCGTACAGAACGTCGAACACAGGCCCAAGCTCACAGCCAACCAAGCCCAAGGCATCCCGCTCATCGACCTCGCCGCCCTCACCGGCTACTCACCATCCGACGGCACGGTCGCTGACTCTGCCGTCGTTGAAGGGCTCGCGGCGGAGATAGGGGAGGCTTGCAAGAAGTGGGGGTTCTTCGCGGTGGTGAACCACGGGGTGGCGGCGGAGAAGAGGGAGAGGATATGGCGGGAGGCGAGGGAGTTCTTCGGGCAGGGTTTGGAGGAGAAGAAGAAGGTGAGGAGGGGCGAGAGGAATGTGTCGGGGTACTACGAGACGGAGCACACCAAGAACGTGAGGGACTGGAAGGAGGTCTTCGACTTTACCGTGCAAGAGCCGACGCTCGTCCCGGCCTCGCACGAGGACGGCGAAGAGGGTGTCATCGAGTGGACCAATCGGTGGCCTGAGTACCCTCCTGGATTAAGGTTAGTGTTTCCAAAATATTCTTTAACTTCGGCTACGTGGTGTTTCAATGGAAGCTGGCGCATGATCGATAGATTATCGATCGATATAATCTGAATCATTAACTGCACAATTGTCAATGGTCCCTTACTTTTTGTGTTTCGATGAGGAGGGAATTATTGTCCTTTCTTTGACGCCATAGAAACAGGTTGTGATAGCTGCTCATACAAGCAGGGCTTATTAGTAGGAATTGGTGATGTTACGTCAGATAGTAAGGGACATGGTGAAACGTGCTTTGTTCAACCAAATAGCCAATATCGATTTATTCTACCCCTACCTTTCTTATGGAGCTCGCATGAGCCCGTCCAAAATGATTCTCTTGCGGCTATTAAAATTCAGGGAAGCATTCGAAGAATACGCACAAGAAGTGGAGAAACTCGCTTACAAGCTGATGGGACTGATAGCTCAGAGCCTGGGCTTGCCCGCGAGCAGGTTTGACGAATTCTTCAAGGACCAGACCAGCTTCATACGGCTCAACCACTATCCGCCCTGCCCTGCGCCGCACCTCGCTCTGGGCCTCGGCCGCCACAAGGACATGGGGGCGCTCACCATCCTGGCTCAAGACGACGTCGGAGGCCTCGAGGTGAAGAGGAAGAGTGATGAGGAGTGGGTCTTTGTCAAGCCCATCCCTGATGCCTTCGTCATCAACGTTGGCGACATTATTCAGGTACCACCGATTAAAAAAGAACTTTTTATATGCACAACTCATCGCTTAAAGATGTGTATATGGAATATCATTCGTGCCGCGACTGGTTGTGCCTATGCCTAATGATTATCATCCATCCTTTCGGTCAATTTTTGTGATTTTCATACATGATCATTGGTCATACGTATGAATTGTACTTGTGAATGTGGGTGCAGTACTCAATGGAAAAGAACAACCTATATTTTTTACGAATTAACTCTTGACTATGTGAAGGTTTGGAGCAACGAGACGTACGAGAGCGTCGAGCACAGAGTGACGGTGAACTCGGAGAAAGAGAGGTTCTCAATTCCATTCTTCTTCAACCCATCACACTATACCATGGTGCAGCCACAGAAGGAATTGACTGATGAGCACAACCCTCCCAAGTACAGGCCGTACAATTGGGGCAAGTTCTTGGTCACCCGAAAAGCAAGCAACTTCAAAAAGCTTGACGTTGAGAACCTCCAGATTCACCATTTCCGGATATGAGAATCAGCAGTAGAATCTCCAAAATAGTGACCATCTATTGTGCTGAGATGCAGGGAGTTATGGAGCATTGCTGTAGCTAAAGCTTTTTAATTAGCTTTGGTGACTTGAAACTTTGCCGTAGAATGTAACGAATATGACTGTCGATTGTGAATATTGTGTGTTTGCCAAAAAAAACATAATGGAACTGAGCACAGAGGTTTCAGTAAAGTGCCTTTGTTGTTCGTTTTCTGTTGTAAATGTAAACCATCTTTGTTTATTTGAGTATTTTGTGTATAAGGTATAAAATTTCAATTCAAAAGGTATGAAAATATGGGATCACGAGAATAGTCAACACCATTGATTTCGTAATTGCTGACTAATGAAGGTTCTCCTTCGCTAGCACACCAAACCATCTCGCTGAACAGAAACCCATCGCCTTCCCCCCATGCAGAGGTCCAGTTTTGGGTAAGAAAAACATCAAGCGAGAGGCAAATGGACAAGAACCCGAACCTAGCATCACGTGCCCTCCTCATCCTCTTCCTCTTCTGGTTTGAGCAGAATGAAGCATCGCTTGAAAGCAAGCACTTTGTGCTGGTTCATGGGTCAGGCCACGGTGCATGCTGTTGGTACAAGATCGCGAAATTGTTAAGATCATCCGGTCACAGAGTCACTGCACTTGACCTGGTGGCTTCCGGGATCGACCCGCTTCAGGTCAAATCTCTGCAATCGATCTCTGAGTACTTCAAGCCCCTAAGAGGTGTCATGGAAGGTCTAGCTTCACATGAGACAGTGATCCTTGTCGGTCACAGCTTGGGAGGGTTGGCTCTTTCTCAGGTGATGGAGAAATTCGCCAGGAAGATTGCGCTTGCTGTTTTTGTCACTGCCTTGATGCCTGGTCCTGAACTCGATATGTTTCTACTCTCAAATCAAGAGGTATATTCAATCTTAAACCCATCATTGCTAGTGATACAATTTCCACTCCATTTTTACCCACGAATTTCGCATTTGTCAGCCATCATTCGAAGAAAACGTTAAATGAGAATTGCCAAAAGTCTCATTAAAAGCAGTTCTTTTCCAGATTGATTGTGAGAAACCTCTGTTGTACTTTGCAAGTGAAGTCTCTCATAAGACCACCACCCGTTCTAAATAGCCGCTACACCTACGAAAACGGGCCGAACAACCCTCCGACCACCTTCAGTTTTGGCCCAATTTTCTTGGCATCGAGTGCTTTTCAGCTTAGCCCCATCGAGGTAAAACCAAGAAACAATCAAAAACTACACCCCATGCTAACTGTCTCTGTATTGCATCACTCCAATTTTGTCGGATGTCTGACAACACATACTCGACCAAACATGTTTCAGATTAATCAAAGCTCTCTCTCTCTCTTTTCCTTAGTCTTTTTTTATTTTGCGGGATTTGATGTTGGCGAACATGTTGATCAAGCCACTGCGTTTGCTAAGCAACGAGGACATGTCGAGGCAAATAACATTGTCCCAGAAAAATAATATTTCTAGGCGCAGGACTTTTTGGTTTGCGAGGATGATATGCTCATTGTGAAGGATCTTGTGCAGTGAATGTTGGGAGTTTGCAACAGAAACTTGAGGCCTTCAATCGGGAAGATTGCCAGCCATAAAATTTTTCATATTAGGAGAGTTCGGTTATATACCGAAGAAGTAGTTTCGAATAGAGATAAAATCAATTTACATTTGAAATTTAATTCAGTAATTAGTTGGCCCGCTTCGTTGTATATACTATCAATAATAGTCTCAGTAATGTTTTTCGTGATCACGCTTTGAAATTGCGTTGTTGTTCCCTATGATGCACCGACACGCGACACGCGACACGCGACACGACACGACACGACACGCGACACGTCAATTCTCAAAAAATACCATTTTCCGACACGTTAGGACACGTATATTAAATATATATTTTTAATAATTAAATACCATCACAATTATAAAATGACCTACCACAGCTCTTAATAAGAAAAAAAGACAGCAGTCCACCAAAATTTCTTTTCCCCATCCATCTGACCTCCCCATCTGACCTCCCTATACGAAAAAAAAACGCAGCCCACCACTTTTTCCTTTTCCCCCAACCCACCCACACACGCCCCCTTCCCCGACTTCTCCCTTCTTCCCAGTTCCCAGCCACCACAATTTCTTTCGAAACAGAGAGGTGTACCTGCAGCGAGCGGCGAGCGTGAGCCGCGAGCACGACCGGCTAGCGGGAGCGGGAGAGGGAGCGGCGAGCGGCGAGCGGGAGCGGCGCGGAGGACGGGAGTTCGTCGGTCGAACAGAGAAGTAAAGAGGCAATCGTGTTTTAGCCCTAATTTGGTGGTCGACGCCTTTTATTGTTCTCTGTTTTCATTTTTTTACAAATTTACTCTTCGGACACGCCGGACTCGCGTGTCGGAGGCGTGTCCGGAGAGTTGACTTCGTGTCGGAAATCCGACACCGTGTTGACCGCGTGTCGGAGGCGTGTCCACGCGTGTCGACGTGTCCGACACCGACACGTTGGCCATTTTCACGTGTCGGTGCAACATAGGTTGTTCCTAATCCATTACTTTTTATTCAAAATTATCTCGTGCACCAATTGTAACACCTGTCCAGTACTTTTCAGCAAGATATGATGGGATCAGGAATCAACTCTCTATCGCAAACTCCGGGAACAAAACTATCTCAATAAGCAATGCAAGCTCTAACGTCAAGAATACCGAACTCTTTGTCCTCTTTATCTTTATGCCTTTCTCCTCATAATTTTCCCCATGTCCCGACACCATCCTAGTCACTCCTTAGATACCTCCAAACCATTCACATAATCGCCTCCAGGTTCTATCGCGCATCAGCAACCACCGTTTCCACTATAACTGCTTCAACGTCAACTACGGCCAAGAAAACAAAAAAGAAAAGAAGAAGATTTGATCTTTCTTGATCAGTCACAAACCCACAATTAGCCCAAGATCATACTCACGATCTTTATCAAGAAAAGGGAAATGGGAGAGGTCGATCCGGCCTTCATACAAGACGTCGAGCATAGGCCCAAACTCGCCGCCACACAAGCCGAAGGCGTCCCGCTCATCGACCTCACCGCCCTCACCGGCTACTCACCCTCCGGCGGCACGTCGGCTGCCTCCTCCGCCGCCATCGAAGGGCTCGTGGCGGAGATAGGGGAGGCGTGCGAGAAGTGGGGGTTCTTCGCAGTGGTGAACCACGGGGTGGCGGAAGAGAAGAGGGAGAGGATATGGCGGGAGGCGGGGGAGTTCTTCGGGCGGGGTTTGGAGGAGAAGAAGAAGGTGAGGAGGGACGAAAGGAAGGTGTTGGGGTACTACGAGATGGAGCACATCAAGAACGTGAGGGACTGGAAGGAGGTCTTCGACTTAACGGTGCAAGAGCCGACACTCGTCCCGGCCTCGCTCGAGGACGGCGAAGTGGGTGTCACTGAGTGGACCAATCAGTGGCCTGAGTACCCTCCTGGATTAAGGTTAGTGTTTCCATGGTTCTTTATCCTCTGGCGACTTGGTGGTTCAATAGAAGCTGGCGCATGATCGATGGATGATACATAATCTAAAGCATTTAACAACACAATCATTGACGGTCCCTTACTTTTTGAGTTTCAATGACGATGAATTTATTGTCGTTGTTTCGACCCCGTAAAAATTGGTTGTGATAGCTGCTCGTATAAGCAGGGCTTGTTACTAGGAATTGGTAATCTTACATCATGTAATAAGTGACATGGTGAAATGTGCTTTGTTTAACCAAATAGTATCGATTTTATTATATCCTGGACCTTTCTAATGGAGTTCGCATCTCGTGCCTATCCAAAATGATTCTCTTGCGGCTATTATAATTCAGGGAAGCATGCGAAGAATACGCACAAGAATTGCAGAAACTCGCGTACCAGTTGATGGGACTGATAGCTCAGAGTCTGAGCTTGCCCGCGAACAGGTTTGACGAATTCTTCAGGGACCAGACCAGCTACCTCCGGCTCAACCACTATCCGCCCTGCCCTGCGCCGCACCTCGCTCTGGGCCTGGGCCGCCACAAGGACGCAGGGGCGCTCACCATTCTGGCTCAGGACGAAGTCGGAGGCCTCGAGGTGAAGAGGAAGAGTGATGGGGAGTGGGTCCTAGTCAAGCCTGCCCCTGATGCCTTCATTATCAATGTTGGCGACATTATTCAGGTACCACTTACTAAACAAGAACTTTTTATATGCACAACTTATCGATTAAAGATGTGTATATGGAAGATCAATTGTGTCGCGACTGGTTGTGCCTATGCCTAATGATTATCATCCATTCTTTCGGTTAATTTTTGTGATTTTCATAGATGATCAATGGTCATACGTATGAATTGTACTTGTGAATGCGGGTGCAGTACTCAATGGAACAGAACAAGCTATAATTTTTACGAATTAACTCTTGACTATGTGAAGGTTTGGAGCAACGAGATGTACGAGAGCGTCGAGCACAGAGTGACGGTGAACTCGGAGAAAGAGAGGTTCTCGATTCCGTTCTTCTTCAACCCATCACATTATACCATGGTGCAGCCATTGAAGGAATTAACGGATGAGCGCAACCGTCCCAAGTACAGGCCGTACAACTGGGGCAAGTTCTTGGTCACTCGTAAAGCGAGCAACTTCAAGAAGCTTGACGTTGAGAACCTCCAGATTGACCATTTCAGGATCTATCCAACAATAGAATCTCCAAATAATGACCATCTATTGTGCTGAAAAGAAAGGAGTTATGGAGCGTTGTTGTAGATAAAGCTTTTTAATTAGCTTTGGCGACTTAAACTTTGCCGTAGAATGTAAGGAATGTGACTGTTGATTGTGAATATTGTGAATTTGCCTAAATAAATTATGGAACTGAGCACAGTGGTTTCACTAAAGTGCCTGTGTTGTTTGTTTTCTGTTGTAAACCATCCTTGTTTATTTGAGCAGGTACACAATTTCAATTCAAAAGGGAGGAAAATATGGGATCACAAGAATAGTCAACACCATTGATTTCGTAATTGCTGACCAATGAAGGTTCTCCTTCGCTAGCTTTAGTCGATACCAAACGATCTTGCTGAACAAAACCCATCGCCTTTCCCCACTTGCAGAGGCCCAGTTTTGGGTAAGAAAAACATCGAGCGAGAGGCAAATGGACAAGAAACTGAACCTAGCATCACTTGCCCTCCTCATCCTCGTCCTCTTCTGCTTCGAGCAGAACGAAGCATCGCTTGAAAGCAAGCACTTCGTGCTGGTTCATGGGTCAGGCCACGGTGCATGGTGTTGGTACAAGATCGCGAAATTACTAAGATCATCCGGTCACGGAGTCACTGCACTTGACCTGGCAGCTTCCGGGATCGACCCGCTTCAGGCCAAATCTCTGCAATCGATCTCTGAGTACTTTAAGCCCCTGAGAGATGTCATGGAAGGTCTAGCTTCACATGAGAGAGTGATCCTTGTCGGTCACAGCTTGGGAGGGTTCGCTCTTTCTCAGGTGATGGAGAAATTCCCCGAGAAGATTGCCCTCGCTGTTTTTGTCACTGCCTTGATGCCTGGTCCTGAACTCAATGTTTCTACTCTCAATCAAGAGGTATGTTCAATTTTAAACCCATCATTGCTAGTGATACAATTGCCACTCCATTTTTAGCCAAGAATTTCTTATTTGTGAACCATTATTAAAAGAAAACATTAAGAGGAATAGCCAAAAGTATTCTTAGAAGCAGTTCTTATCTATATTGGTTGTGATAAAAACTGTTGTATTTTGCAAGTGAAGTCTCTCAGAAGATCTCCACCTGTTCTAGACAGCCACTACACCTATGACAATGGGACGAACAACCCTCCGACCACCTTCAGTTTCGGCCCAATTTTCTTGGCATCGACGGTGTATCAGCTCAGCCCAATTGAGGTAAAACCAAGAAAAGAATCGAAAACTCCACGCCATGCTAATCTTCTCTGCATTGCATAAGTTCCAATTTTGTCGGATGTCTAACAACATAAACTTGACCAAACGCGTTTCAGATCAATCAAAGCTCTCCCTCTTTTTTCATCATTCTTTTTCTTATTTTGCAGGATTTGACGTTGGCGAACATGTTGCTCAGGCCACTGCGTTTGTTCAGCGACGAGGACATGTCGAGGCAAATAAAATTGTCCCAGAAGAATTATGGTTCTGTGCGCAGGATCTTTGTGCTTTCCGAGGAAGACAAACTCTTTCCGAAGGGTCTTGCGGAGTGGATGATCAAGCGCAATCCGCCAGATGAAGTGTTGAAGATGAGTGGATCGGATCACATGGTCATGATGTCCAAGCCCACCGAATTAGGTGCAATTCTGCAGAAAGCTGCCAGCAAGTATTGCTGAGATGAGAAGTGGAGACAGAGAGAGGGACTTTCAATGGTCGCTCGCAACAGTCAAAAGTTGTGTTCCATGATTAGAGTCAATTCAACTTCGTTTTGGGAGCTAAGCTTGTTAATAAAACGGGGCAAAGCAAATAGTTTGACCCAGTATTTGTAAATTATTCATATTATAAGCACCGTGATATAAAAAAAAGACCATCTAATGTTTTTCATACTAATCAAACAAGAAAACAGTACTAAAATGATGCGCATCTGTCTAAAGCAAGGGAAGGTGTGCTGAACTTTGAGAGTTCTTATTATCTCACTTTCCCTTCAACTCATCGGCCACGTCTTCCTGTCTTTTTATCTTTCATTTTGTAAACCAAATAAAGCACAGCCAAATCACGTCTCGCTGGACAGTATCACAAGCGTCTACATGCATATGTACACATATAGAACACATGTATATTCGCGCGCGCACAAATAATAAAAAAGTTAGAAAGAAACCAAGCTTCTGTTCAAAATCTTCATGGCGGTGTTCATTCCATGCTTTTTTGTCTGCTTTAATCTAAAACTAAGAGGGTATCTTTAAACAGCATATTCAAGTTGGAGGACTATAGTTCTGTACACACTGTGTTGATAATTCTCCGATCTTATCTTCAGACTCACCCGAAATGTCGAACCTCACACACACCAGAAGCAGCCACGAAACATGAGTCCAAGCTTCTCGAAAGAATCGAATAGAAAAATCGGATGCGCTTTTTCTCTTGAAAGTTCCGCGAAATCCACATTCTATAATAAACTAGATCGATGACTTCTTCTGTCAAGAGAGACATTTAACATATTTATTGCCACGCATACTCTCACATACGCTGTGCATGTGGACAGCAAGAACCTTATCCAGGACAACGCAGAGATGAATCCAAAAAGAAAAAATCCCATCTCAAAGCGAGAACTTTCTTATCCATTGTGGAGCGAAAAACGACGATTCTCTTCCCCAGAAAAGGATCATTCAGCTGAAATGCAGTCTCTGAACTTGAAGATCTGATGGCACTCATGTGATCAAGATTCAAGAATCAATATTCTGGCTCTTGTACACATCAAACTTCACATGGTGCAAACAGTACATGAACAAGACCAACAAGAAATGCCGCCTATACATTGCTATTCATCTCTTGATGGAGATCCGAACTCACATTATACACAACGAGCCAACTAACGTCTCTCCCTATCGGTGTCCTGTAAAGTAAATTCAGACCCAACAAAGGAAAGAGTTTCAGGGGAAGAGGCCGAAAAGAGGGACCGGCGGAGCGGCCGCGAAAGCTGAATAGGCGAGCCGCGGGAACCGCCTTTCGTGGGGGACGATGGTGCCGCCGAGAGCTTGTGCAGCGACGAGGACGAAATCGAGGGCCAGATTCAGCAGGTTCTTGAACATCTGGAGTCTCTGCACGAGCATCATTGTAACGTCGGAGAGTATGAAAACGTGGAGCCTCGGGCTTCGGCTGAGGTTGTCCTCTTCTCTCCTTTCTTCTTTTTCCTTCTTCCCGCGTCAATCAATGGTCGTTGTCCGTTGAGAGTTCGTTTTTATACATGATGAGGAGTGACTCGGACAGATCCGGAGCTCGATCAAATCCGGCTCTTGGAGAAGCAAAGGGACAAATCTCTCTCTCTCCAATGGAGATAGGATATACTTTTGGCTAAATTTGATGATCTAAATTTACTAAACTTAAGATGTCAAAAAAAAACATCATTACTTGTAAATTCTATTTGTACGGGTCTTATTAACAAGTGCCCCTAAGACATTATTTAAATTAATGAAAAATATTTAATTAACAAGTGCCGTAACTGTCCCCTTGCCAGTCCCCGCCTCTTAGGGGAAGAAGGGAAGAAAATTTAAAAAAAATAAAAAAATTATAAAAGTATTATTTAAAAATATTCGTGTCAGCGACGGCCCAGTCACGTAAGACGGCCGGTATTCATGTCGGCAATTTCCAATCAAAATTAGCCAAATGGACTAAATTGACATAAATACAAAATGTTTAAGACTCAATCGGCACAATTATAATATGGTTATGGCTTTTTTAGTAATTTTTTCAATATTGTTTAGGACCCTAGAAGACCACGAGAGAGTAAAAAAAAAATCAGCCCTTTTAAAATTCCTAGATAATTTCTTTTATTATCATATATTAATGACTTTAGTGTCTCCGCAAATAAAATCATTTTAAAATCATTTTTTCCAAGCACTAGTCGGCCCAAACAAATAAAGTTGACTATCGCGTCCTGATTTCGCTCAAATACTTATGATTTTTTCGTGCAAGAAAAGCTCAATTGAAGTAAAACGGTTGGTGCTTGATAAATAAAGGAGTGGCACATGCTCAAAACTGTTCTGGAATTATATATGTGTGTGTGGGGGGGCCTAATTCCAAAAAAAAATATCAATTTTAGGTCTAGTGACAATTCTGATCTTAATTTTTTTTTATCTCGTAAAAAATCACTAACTTTCACTTAAATTCCAAATATGGCCCCCTTGACATAGAACCATCAATTGTCCAACTTGCCTATTCCACTTCAACAATAAATCCACTTGTCTTGCTAATCTAATTTAAAGCACCGTTCATTATTTTTTTCTTTGAACCACAACTTGAAGTCATCGTCTCTTTCACTTCACAGACAAGTTAAAAGATCTCCAAATTGAATCTCTCCGATCAGGCTTCGCCATTTTATCGTAATTTGAAGTTATAGACCACCGCTTGTCGAAAGACGCCATGGACGAGATCCACCAAGCTCACGACCAAAACCTCTTTTCTCAAACAATGGTGATTTTAGATAGAGAATCAAATGAGGGCCAGATTTGGGATAAAGGTAAAAGTTGGTGATTTTTTATGAGAAAAAAATTGGGGCTAAAATTATCACTCGACCTAAAGTTTGTGTGTTTTTTTTTTTAATTAGCCCTATATATGTATGTCTATAATTTGATTATTTTGTAGAATCACCGTTTTAGTTAATCCTAAAATTTGCTCATCTTTGGTTGATTATGTGTTAATGCTATTATTTACTCCGCAAAATGGAAACTAATAAACTTCTCTCCAAAGTCATCGATGAGAAATAAAAAATATATTCAATACTAAGTTTAAACCATTAGTAATTTCACATGATATTCACCAATGGTGTCAAGGTGTCCATGCGCCAACGACCGTACATAATCGAGGAATACTCATCCAAACCCCGAAAGAGCTTCCGGAACATTAGGGATGGGCGATACAATAACTGTGACGTGTTCTAGAGAATTCTCGACATAAATGCCGGTAGTTGGTGGACAAGGAGATGTGATCTCCTCCGTTAGATCGAAAGTCAATCAATGGATGTAATCATTCAAATCTTTGTATAATTGAAGCAATTTATATTCTCTCCCACAACTTCTCTCTACAATCCGGGCAAGCGAGTGAGCGATTGAGAAAAGGCTTGGTTTAGGCACATCTAAGAAAGTCTAAATCGCAGCACGGGTCCAATTTCAAACAACCGACCCGCGACATATGATTGAACGTGATATTATCACATCTACATATTATCACATCTACCACACTGTTATCGAAAATTCATTAACCTCAGAAATACTAGCTCATGCGTTTAAAATAAAAATAATAGGGGTTACGTAAATTTTGTCATGTAATTTGATTTATTCGTCTCGGTAAATTAGATATTTCACACGAGAGAATTTGTTGTACATGTGCTTTTAGGTTTGTTAACTTTACCGACGTGTGTTAGCTGTAGTCCATTATGTTGGTGATTTGAGCATCTCTTACTAGGAGTACTAAGTTTTGACCTGTTTGCAAATGTTATGAGGAGTGAGGTTTAACTACTGCCCCGTAGCAACATATGATCTTATAGTCACTTACAAATATAGTGCTGATTTTTACTTTAGTTTTTCTCCTCCATTATGTTGATCATTTGAGCATCTGTTACTAGGAGTACTGAGTTTCGACCCGTTTGCAAATGTTACGAGAGGTGATCTCCATCTGCTTATCCAAACATGTCCTTCTGCCGTGCACAATGCCAACAACAATGGACTATGGCTGCCAGCCCCACTGTGGTGGCATTGGTGCAAGAGAATCATATTCGCGATCTATAAACAAATTAGACGTTTGTAAATTCTTATTGTATTGGATCGAAACACGATCCCCTAATAATCATCAAACTCCTGCCACGAAAACGATTTCATAATTTTTATTTTATTAACAGAAGGAAAGAGTAATTACCAATTTGGGCTTGAATTTGAATTCCTCACAAAAGAGAGTACCTCTCCTCTCCTTTCTTTAAATGTGGGCCCACACCTCAAAGCGAGATCAATGATTCATATCTCGCAGCCGTTGGGAATTTTGTATTTTGGGGATTACGCCATCCTTTCGCTTTTACGAAGAAGCCCCCTCCCCCAAAATTCAAATCCTACAAGCGCTCAGGATGCGTCGATTTCGAAATCTAGATCCCATCTCCACCGTCCATTTTCTACCCTCGAAACCCCACCCACCCACCCATTTTCGATTTTTGAACTCCCAAGAGTTCTTGTGGCAGTTCAAACTCGCAGACAACGGGACATGCGAAAGAACGAGAGAGAGAGAGAGGGAGATGGGAGAGGGAGATGGGATGCTTCCTTTGATCGATGCTCGGTGACTTCGCTCGGTCTCTGACAGACTTTGTCTTGTTCCTTTTTGTTTTCGCTCCTGTCGAGGATTGTTTTTCGAAGTGTTTTTTCCCAGCTGAACGGAGCTCCAATTCAGCAGAAAATTTCAGGGTCGAGGGCGTTAGGCATTCTTTTCTTCAATTCTTCTTTCAGGTAGGCATTTCCTCTAGTCTCGCATTGCCCATCTCTCTTAAAGGCACTTTTTAACTGTTGTTCTTTGCTGAAATTTTCCTCTCTCCGGATGTCAGAATGTTGAGGGATTTGAAGTTCCTCCGCCGGAATTCCGGCAAGCACGAGGAAGTCGAGAATGTACCCTTGCAGCCTAATAGCTCATCGGCAATTCAAACCGCTGGGGACTCCTCTCGGGCACCGTTAAACGCTATTCAAGAGCCTACCCAAAACCCTAGACCTGAAGCAGAAGTTAGCACTAAAAGCAGAGTTGATAGAACCCCAAGTAAGCCCCGGGTCAGGAATGCAGATCCCTCGTTGCCTCTTCGAACCCCG